CAGTATTATCTGGGTGTTTTGTGATTTAAGCTTGCTTTGAAAGTATGGTGTACCTGCAGAAGTGAACAATCAGATATGAGGCAAAGATTTAAAAATAAAAATACAGTATTTCATTGTTTGCATTTTTAATACAGTTCACAGACTTTAAACACATTAGATTGCCTGTCTCAATGTTCTGGAAGTTCTTCAGTCACCACCATCACTAGTGTACAGTGGTGCCTTGGGTTAAGTACTTAATTCATTCCGGAGGTCCGTACTTAACCTGAAACTGTTCTTAACCTGAAGCACCACTTTAGCTAATGGGGCCTCCTGTGGCTGCTGTGCTGCCGGAGCACGATTTCTGTTCTCATCCTGAAGCAAAGTTCTTAACCTGAAGCACTATTTCTGGGTTAGTGGAGTCTGTAACCTGAAGCTTATGTAACCTGAAGCGTATGTAACCCGAGGTACCACTGTACCTTTATAGTAAATTTCTGGCAAATCTTTTTGTTGTTGTTGCTGCTTCATAAATATGAGGGATTCTGCTCTTCATCCCTTACATGAAGGAGTTCTATAAAGTTCAAACACCTTTCCATTTCATCCCAAAGCAGTGGCTGGAAAGCGAGTGCCTCATTAGCAGTGCTCTTTGTGCTTTCTTACTTAGCTGCGAAACAGAAAGGCTTCTCCGCCTTAAGGTCAGCACAAAGGACCAAGTTCAGGTGTCAAGTTTTGTCTGGGAAGAAGATGCGGCTGGGAGACGCCTCCGAGACCTGTCGCCTGTGAAGTCAAACCTTTCCGTATCACAGCAACCCAGCTTTAGACTACCTCAAGGTTGTGAAGGGAGGAGTGCTTGGGGGAAAGGGCCCCTTTGAGAAAATCAGGTCAAAAACACACTGAAGCCGCTCTGTGGTTCCTTTCCCTGCCTTTGATCTCTTCTCCGCCAGCTCCTTGAAAAGGGTTTATTTCCCTTTGTGCCTCTGCTGCCCTATTTTCTCCCCTGTTTAATTTCTCCCAATTGACTTTAATTGAGATCTCATTAGTAACTTTCACTAGTCTGGTAAGCACTTTATACCGACACCTCTCTTCCCCCGCCAGTCCCCACTGCTGGGTTGGTGCCCAGAATATTCCCGCTCCCTCCCTCAGGCTGGATGGGACAAGATTCCTTCGGAAGCAGGGGGGGCAGTAACTTCTCACAAAGGGACAGGGAGCATCAGCAGCCTTTGAAAGGAAAAGCTTCTGGTGGAAAATACTGCTTTCACTTAAAGGCATCTGGCTGGGAAACAAGAGCTTGCATAAATCCAAGAGGCCACAGCAAGTACTGCTGGAGATAAGGAGATTCTGATATTATTTCTGTAGTGCAGGGTCAAAACTTGACAGCCTTTTACTGGCTCTCCTTTGCTTTCTCATTGAGTGTGTTTGCTGGGCTGGAATGGTCCTTAAATTCTGGATGGAGGATAGTGAGAGGCATGTGAGTGGTGTGCATACAAAAACCAGCCTAATGTAGAAACGTAATATGATTGCTCCATTTGTTCTTCCATCCACCTTAGCCTCTGGCCCTACCTGCCACTCTCATGTGGTTCCCGAGAAGCTTTCTCAGAAAGGAATGTGGGACCTCAGGATGAACAAGTTTCTCCATCCCTGATCAATGGGGCTCCTAGACTTCATCTTCATCACCATTAGTTTACAGAAGCATGGAAAATATACTAGACACTGGAAATCAGTGAAAACCTTCCCTCCCTGCGTAACTAACCCCACCCATAATAAAACAGAGATAATGATGGGGATTGCGGCAGCTACACCTAATACTTGCTTGGAAATATTAATCTGACAAAGCAGGCAATTTATTAAAATGTTTCATCCATTCAATAAGGCCACAACACACACACACACAGTGTTCACATTACCACAGTGAAGTTGCTCTTTGCCCCCCGCCCCATAACCCATTTCATAACTCTTTCCCCCCTAGCTTCTCACATCAGCATGTATTTGTTAGTGTCATATTTGTTGGGGGTCACTGATGGGTGAGGATGTCTTTACCCCAATGCAAAGGTGTCCACACCTTGGCTAGAGAGGAATTAGGAATGCCTTAAGGACTTGCAATCTGTGTGAAGATGGTTTGAGAAATGTGTGTATCAGAAACAGCCAATTTTTATAACAAAGTAAAGGATACATATGCATTGTGGATACCATCATGGGAGCATGGATTAAAAACCCAGCAATGGAGATGCAATGAGTGCAGGGCACAGTAAACGGGAGCATCAACACACACACACTGTCTGCATTTTGGTCCCAGTCCCATGAAGCTCTGGCCATTCTTAGCTCCTGATGAAAAATCGATGGGAGCCTAATGGATCTTGGTGCATTGCCCCTTGCAAAGAATGCCTGCCCTGACAGCATTCAACAATTACTCTTTAAGCAGGACTAATAATGCTGACTTGTGCGCCGGCTCCTTTTCAACTCTGATATGGTTGCCTTCCTTATTAATATTATCAGGTGCATTATGAAGACAGAGTCTCCCAGCTTTCTGGTGCTAATAATAGCCCCGGCTTCGCTGGACAAGGGAGTCAATAACTGTAAGCTGGAGAGCTTATCTGAGGTGTACTCTCCTGCATACAAATCTCATTTAAAGAACGCCCAGTGTCAGTAAACAGTTTTATTACTGACTATTTATATTGGTTTCCCTTTATCCCCACAGATCTGATGGTAAATTACCCGCCCGAGTGCTATTCATTCAGGGCCCCTCATAGTTAACAAACCAGTCACAGGCACTGCTGTGGTGGAACACATGTATTGATTTCCCCCAAATCAAAGGAGAGGGCCAAGAGAGAACGCAGGGGCTTTTCATTACAGTAGAAGCCTCCAATGGAGAGGGAGAGGCTCCTTTTGCTGCATTTGAATGAAGGGAACTAAATTGTTGCACAAGTCTTTAGAAGAGAGCCTTTCAACCCAGGAACGACCCAAAATTGGAAAGAGCAACGAGAAGCAGTTCTGACAGTTGAGCGCTGGAGGCAAGGCGGTGTGTCTAGGAAGGGGAATGATGGGACCCAAACAGATACTGTTGTTTAACAGCAGGGATGGAAAGTAAAAAAACAACAACTAAAAAATAAAAACCTGTGCTGCACACCTTCCATGATTCTGACCAAAAAACAAAACAAAAAGGAATCCTTCCAAGAGAATTCAGCATCCTAAGTATATTATTAAAAAAAGGAGAAAGGGCCAATCTTTAAGAGACAATGTGGTGTAGTGGTTAGTGTCAATGGATCCCACTCACCCACCCAAGATAACTAGGGGTGCTTTCAGACTTGATTATTGTACATTCATCCTGATTGTTTGCAAAGAGATTAGGTGACATTGGCTATTTAGTGAACATTCAGTCTTATTTGTAGGGAGGCTAGATGATGTTACATCAAAGCAAGTGTTATCCCACACTTCCAAGTGCATTTTCTCACCACTTTCCTTATTGCAAATGTCTGATTTTGGTGAGACTCAAGATTTGCTGAGCAAGACCTCATAATCAACTTTAATTGTGCAACCTGAAGTTGCCACTATGTGACTGGAAATGATGAGAGTCTGAGAGCACCCTCTGTGACCTTGAGCTAGTCACTATCTCTCAGCTGAACCTACCTTGCAGGGTTATTGAGAGGGTTAAAGGAAGGAAGAAAAACGCACGAACTGCCCTGAGAGAGGATATAAACATAATGAATCAGAATGGTCTGAAACATAGGTCTGAAAATGTTTTAATCTACATGTGGTGAAATGTCAGAAGGTTGTGCAGGATTTCCAGAAGAAACCAGGATCTGATATTTCAGGGGATGGGGGAATACGTTGGAACAAAGGGATTCAGCCTATATTATGTCAGACTACTGGTCCATCTGGTTAGAACTGTTTACACTAATACAGGAAACCTCTGGCCTGCAGACTTCTACTGGTGGCCCACCAGACTTCTTGATCTGCCCTCCTGGCACTCTAGGTAACCCAGACCCCTTTCCTCCTCTGCAGCAAGTTGGCAATAGAGGAAGAAAATAAAGCTGCCAAACAGTCTTCCCCAGCCTGGAGTGCAACTCCTATCAACCCCTGCCAGTATGGCAAATTGTCCTAGTTGCGGTCCAAAGTATCAGATTGGGGAAGCTTGCTTTACACTGACTGGCTGGCAGCCACTCTTCAGGGTTCCATGCAGGGGTTTTCCCCGGAATTACCCCCCCCCCCGCACACACACTTCTTGCCCAGCCTATGGAAGCAGCCCAGATGAAAGCGAAAACACAAGTACTACTTTTGCATGAAGCGGAAAGCCAGCGGCAGCCTCAGCCGTGAGTGCGGTGGCCGATTCCCGCAGAATCTGCCTGCGTGTCTGCCTAGGGCAGCGAATGCCCCCATGGGCGCCTTAGGCTAGGGCATGCCAGCAGCCCCCAGAGAACTGGAGAGGCCTCCATGGCTGCCAAACACCTTCCTTTTGGGGAGGTCGCCTGGAGCCCAAAGGCAAGTCAGCCGATTCCCCCCCCCGCCCGATCTCTAGCTAGATCTCCTCGCTCGCTCACCGCCCCTGGCGCCCGGGTCCAGCCCCGAGCTCCGCCGAGCACAGCGGAGCAGGCAAGCCGCACAGCTCTGGAAGCAGCCCGTCCGGCATCCTGTCCCGCGGCTTCTGCGCAGTGTGCGCGGCGGCGACGGTTTCCGCAGCTGTCCCTTCGGGGGCAGTACCCGGAGGCCACCCCGGCCTCGCGGGGAACGGGGTCGCGGCAATCGGGCGCCGATCCCACGAGCGAGGGAGCCCGGCGCGAGAAGCCGAATCGCTCTCGGTGAGCGCACGGCCAGCCGCCCTTTCCAGTCCCTCCATAATTGCCCGGGATGGATCAGGAAGCGCAGAAATGCGGCATTGCCTGATCGCCCCCCCCCCCTCCACCCTCATGCCCTGCGGTTTTCACCTTTCTCTAAGGGGAGGGGGAGGGCGCGCTCCCCGCTTCTAAGCCGGACTCTCATCCGGCCTGAGCGGAGCAGCGAGCGAGAAAAGGCGCCGCGCGAGCGAGGGAATGCGGCAGCCCGGCGGCGGCGAGCTGATCAGGTGGGCAGGCAGCGGCTCCCGGGCGCGCGGCGAGGAAGGGGTTAAGCGGAGGGAGACACTCCGCCAAGGAGAATTCAGAGCAGGTGGTCTCCGTCTGGGAGGGCGGCCCGCGGCCAAAGGGATAGGCAGGCGCTGCCGCCGGTGCCGCCGTTTCGGGGCGCCAGGCAGTACAGGAGAGCCCATCGCCGAGAGAAAAACTTTCCCCGGATCTTTTTCTCTGCACGAGGAGGAGGAAGACGCAGGCACTGCCCACCCCCGGCTGGCGAGAAGCTGCCGCTGCAGCAGCAGCAGTGGAGGGGAGGGCTGATTCTCGCGGGGATCGCCGGCATCCTGCAGGAGCAGGAGGCGGAGGAGGCGGCAGCGCGGCGCGGGAGCGGAGAGATGCCCCTCGGGGTGTCTCCGCGGGGGAGTCCGGAGGCGCTTCTTCCCGCGCCGCCGCTCCGGCCTGAGCAAAAGTGAAGGAGGCGCGGCTGCTGCCGCAGCCCTCGGTCGGACTCGGCTTGGCGCCGGGGCTCCTCCGCCACAGGGAACGTGCCGCCCGCTTCTGCTGCGGAGAGCCGGGAAGTCTCTATCTCTCTCCCCCCGCGCGCGTGTGTGTGGCGAGGCCGTGTTGCGTCGTGGAAAAAGAGAAGGCGGGCGGTGATTGCGAGCCCCAGCTCCGGATCTTGCTCGAGTATCTTTCTGTGTATGCACATTTGGAACACACACATCGGATCCCTCGGATCGACTCGTCACCTCTTCTCCGCCGCGCGCGCGCGCGCGCAAAAACACCCCGACAGATCACGCCGCCAGCCGACGGCCGGGTCCTGGGAAGGCGCCCTGCCACAGGTAGCCGCGGCGGCCCCGCGCCTTCGCCGGCACGCTTGGAGGGAGAGCCGCGACGCGCGTCCACACCCGGAATCGCGCGTGTCCCCCCTCCCCTTCCCCAAAAGGGTGCGGAAGCTTCTGGCTGAGGACCCCCGCCCCGCGCGCCCACTCCCGCCGCATCGTGCGCCCCCCCCCCCCCCGTGCTCTTCCTCGCATCCCAGGATGAATCGTCCTCCTCGCGCGCTGGGGAGGCCGGCGGAGCGAGCGGCGGCGCAGGCGAGGAGCCGATCTGCTCCCGGGTGGGCTCTTCTGCAAGGAGGAGAGCGCGCCGCCGCGAGGGTTTCGCCTGACCAACGGCGCCCAAGTGCTCGCAGGAACGGGCGCAGCGCCTGCTGAATCGCCGAGGAGCTGAAAGGCCCGGAGGAAGTCCAGGACCGAACTGCAGGGCGGTCGGGACTTGCGCCGGCACCCGGGAAAGGGGCGGCTCCCTCCGGCTGCGACCCCGGGGATACTTTTCAAGCGACTCAGTGGGTGCCCGTCGGGTTCTGGAGCGCCCTCTTTCCCAGGACGAGCGGGGAGGCTGGAGTTTGGGAGAGAGCACGTGAAAAAGAAGACATTTCTCTCCATCGCCACCCCCCACCTCGGGATCCTGTGAGAAATAAGACTTATGGCGCTTCTGGACTTCGGGATGAGAAGCGCCGGATCCTAAAAGGAGCTCGTCGGGGCCTCTGTAAAGTAGTAGTTTGAATCTGCCCCCCCCCCTTCAGAAGCCTGATGCTGCTACTGCCTGTCGCTTGGCTCTGCTGTGAAGGGAATGCAGCTGTGCTCCAGGCACAGCTGGAGCCCCTCTGTGCCAGGAAAACACCCCCCTGGTAGTTGGATTGTGTGAACGTCTGGATTTAGGGGGCGGAGAGGGGGCACCACCCTCTTTGGCCCATCTGCTGGCCCATCTGGGAAAACCTCTATAAGGATGCTGGCCGGATGGAGAGAGCTGTCTACAGGGATAAGTGCTACACTTTGTTGCCTCCTCTTCTTCTGGCTCCTGTATTCTCATCCACCCAAGGAAGGTACGTTCGTGCCTGTTTCATACACCACTTCGCCACTTCACCTTATGGCCTTTGCAGAGAGGGCAGGGAAGGAGCTTCCCTTATTCTGCCTTCAAGGCTATGCACAAATCGGAACCCTGCGGTGAGGCTGGGGTAATCTAAATAGGGACCATTGCCGCTGTCTAAGGTCCTGAGGGTTATCCTGGGGTTGCTTGGCGATGAGAACATGTTAAAACAAATCTAAATGCCTGCCCATTTGGCCATGATCACCCCTCCTTTATTTAGGTTGGAAAGAGCAAGCAGAACCAGAAAGGCACATAGGGATTTGGACAGAAAGGCCTTTCAGGCACCCAAGACTCCTCGGATTTTATAAAAGCACCTGGTAAGCTTCAGGCCAGTTGGTATGTTGAAGCAGGGAAGATGTAGGCCACCCCACCTACCCACCCTGGCAGAATTGCTTTAAGCACATTACATATTCCACTCCCTCCCCCCCCCCAAAAAAAAACCCCAGCCCAAGTATGGGCATAGAAAACAAAAGCAAGCAATTGGAAGCTAGCTGAAATGCTGTGCCATAGTGGCACCCAGGTTATCCAAGGGACACGGCCTGGGTTACCTTTTCACAGATGAGTTAGAGAGTCCTTTCAAATTAAAATCAGGGCTCAAGACTCCAAGAACACATTTGGTCATTCTACTAACCTCTCCTTTTATAAAAGGCTACAAAGGCAAGAATGAGGAACTGTTGACCTCACTTCCAACCCATCCCAGGTTTTCCTTCCCTGGTTTCTGTGGGTCATTTAAAGAATTTAAATTTCAAAGGCATAAGACACAATCTATACATTTCCTACAGTTTTTCCATACAGGAGGCAGCAGGGTTGAATAAAAGAGCAAACTGCGAATTTTAAGGCTTTACTTCTGTGCAAAGTTGTGTGGGAAGAAGGCCCACTGAATAATGAGGGCCTTCAAGCCGAAATTTGTAAGCTCAGTCAAGCTACATGTGCAATAACAATCCTCCTGGAAGGAGATTTAAGTAGCAAATTTCTCATATCTGTAAACTGCTTTGAGGTGGTTTTTTGTTTTTTTTACAATTGAGCAGTTTATAAATTTTATGAAATAATAAAATAAATATCTAAGAAGGATTCAGAACTTGAAGAGCCAATGACCAGGGCAGAAGAATGGTGGTTCTAGCCAGGAGAGAGACATTTGCACTTGACAAACACACACAAAAGGGAAACCTTCATGAAAGTAGAAATCTGGAGGACTTCAGGAAGGCTGTTTAAATCTTTATCTGAGGCTGCAACCTTTTATACCAGGGATGGGGAACCTGTGGCCCTTTAGTTGTTGGAATATCAACTCTCATTATCCCTGATATTTGGCCATGCAACAACTTTTGGAAGGCCCAGTGTTTCCCATTGCAGCTCTAGATGCACAAATCTGGGAGTAAGTCCCACTTAGTTCAGTGGACTCTTTTCTGAAGATCTGCGCATGGGCATGCACAATGGGCTGGATTCAACTCAGTGGCCCTCCCGAGCAGAAACTTCCTCTAGCACAATCCGACTTTCCACTCCTCCTCATGGATGCCTCCTGTGACCCTCCCCAAAATGGTTTGAGGCAGGAGAACCCCCAGAACAGGGAAAGGAGAAGGCAGATCATTCCACGAAGCAAGCAGAAATGTTTTCACTAATGGAGCCATCTGCCTAGGGCTGCACTGAATTCCTCCCTGTGACTTCACATTCTCTCTGCATCAAACTCATTTTCTGTGCCCACCTTGTTTAATGGGGGCAGTTCATGGCTGCTGTGTTGCTCTTAGCACACTGAGTAATCTCCCACTGACCCTTTCTAGTGGGCTGAACAATTTTGCGTAGCAAACCTTTACTGGAAGGGCTCAGGTCTGTTGGCTGCTAGCTACTTTGAGCAGTACTGCTGTGGGTGGCAAGTGACATGACCATGTTTACTGCATGGAGTTTGAAGATTGATTTAATCTGATACTTGCAGTCCAGTTGGAGAAAGTTTTAAAATTTAGGCCGAGTAGCCCAAGTAGCAAGCCTTGCATGGGAGAGAAAGCACCTCAGTCAAAGGAAGAGGGGTTTTTTTTTGCACTGTTGGTTTTGATTTAGACATTTGATTTAGACATTGGCTTATTTCTAGGATTCCATTTCACTTTCACGATTAAGTACTTCAACATGCTCAACATGCACTTAATTGAGATGCTTTTGGAGAGAGAAGGAGATGAACAGAGAAAGGAGCTTCTTTGTGTAGAAAACACTAAGGCATAGGGATATGTGACCTTCAGGACATGCTATCTTAATATATCAACCCAGTTTCATTGATATTTGGTTGCTGAGATGCATCATGGAGCTTGATCAGGTGATGGGAAAAGCTTCTGCTTGAGCCCATAGGGAGCCAATGCCAATTGCAGTAGACAATACTAGACCGGCAAATGGTCTGGTCTCCTTTAAGATCAGGTTCCAATCCTGTCACTAGCTTTCACTTGTGATACTGAACACATTACTTTGCCACAACTGGGTCTCTTTCTGCAGCCTAAACGCAGTGACCCTCAAACTTGCCATTCTTATCTTTCAGCAGAGCTTATTTTTTTCTGGTCCTAAGACTCTTCAGTCACAGGTAGCCAATGTGGTACTACCCCCTACTTTAAGCAAAAACTACCAGTGGGGAAAGGAAGGAGGTCTGTGATGAGTGAGGTCTCCTTGAAAGTCCCAGAGTCCATTAAATTTGCAGTTTTGGTCCTGAAAGAGATTATTTTCCAAAGGCAAGAGCCACCTAGGCCTGTGTGTGGTTGGGTTGTTAATGAGAAACTAGTTGCTATGATTTTCTGCACTCAAGAGAATAATATATCACCTCTTTGACTTCCCAGCCCACTTGATTTGGTATTTGTTTACAGAAGAGTGCCCTGGAGGCAACTGGTTTCTAAAACTCTTTACAAGGCGCAAGCCCACAACTTTGGGAGAGGAAGACAAATGCTTTGTTCATTTGGCTGTCCTCTCCACCCCCCCATGGGGAAAAGACCCACCCATGTTCACCATTAATAACTCTGTGGTTCAGTTTTGGTTCGCTCAGGGTCCCATTTTCAGATGATAGCTTCTAAGGGGAGTTCAGTTTTCCAGGTTGGCAGACATCTACCAGAAGAGGAACCCAATGTCTTTCTATTTTTTATTTTCATTTTGACTTACCACAGAAAATCCTAGCCATGTTTGTGTCTGAAACACTCCACATGAAGCACCACTGAGTGGTGAATAGGAATTACACAAGGAGTAGACTATTAGAAGCAGTTGGCAATTTGCATGGGTAGCTGCTAACCAACATTTCCTGGGTTCCCCCCCCCTCCTGTGTGTGCAAGATCCACTGAGCCCTGTTAAGTAACTGATTTGTTGCCCTTGGTTTTCCCCAACTTCCTTTCCCCCAGTTTATGCTGTGTAACAAATAGCTCTGCAAGCCCAGAAGCTGCAGAAGAAATCCTGTGCTGATGTTTGCTCACCCAGAAACATAAAGAGCACTGTCAGCGTAAACGTTCCACCGAGAGCTCCCAAGACAGGCCTCCTGCAAACCAGGATGTCAGGGGCACTTTGCAGATCCATGTGGATCCATAAATAATGTCACAATTAGCAACTGAAACCAAACATTTATGCAATAATTCAGTTGATGCAGCCTCAGCCAGTCGAGCAGGAGCTATGAGTTCAGTGCTGATCACAGGCATGCAAGAGGCAAGACACTGCCAAATTATCAGCCTCCATGCCAGAGCCCTAGGTGTGTTATAGGCCACAAGGCTGGTTGCTGCACAGCTTTTTTCACTGGACAGTTTGTAAAGCAGCTAAGGTGGAGATTGCTTGCAGTTCATTGCTATGCCTCCATGGCAAGGAAAACCAAGTGCTGGGATGTGTGAGTGTGTGTACATATCACACACACCCCAAACAGACTTGCTTTTAGATGTGCTGTATAGCGAAAATTCTAAGAAGAATCTCATAAATCCAAAACTAGCTATGTGATTTTTGCCTGGAATTCAGCAATAAATAAAACAGATGGAAGCAGCATTGATCCATAAGAAAGATTCTGAAATCCACAGTTGGGCAATAGCTTTAGGCGGACCGAGGAAAACGTCACAAAACAGAGCAAGTGTTTTGAGTTCTTCAGAACTCTTCGTTGGCTGGATGTTAAGCAAAATGGGCAGAAGAGTAAAAGCAATAAGGAACCCAACTGGCTCAATGTTGTAGTTGTAAAGTCTGCATTTAGACTCAGTGGCAAGCTGAAGATTGTGGACTGTATTACATCCCATATAAAACAGTATCACAGCACTTTAAACAGGGATGGCTTCTCACAAAAAATCCTGAGAATTATCATTTTTTAAGTGTGCTGAGAGACCCCTATTCCTCTCACAGAGTTACCATTCGCAGAGCGGTTTCTCCAGCAGTCCCTTTTCCCAGGGAACTCTGGGAAATTATAGGTCTGTGAAGAGAATAAGGGGACTCCTAACAACTCTCAGCACCCTTAACAAACTGCAATTCCCAGGATGCTTTGGGTGAAGCCATGGCTGTTTAAAGTGGAATGATACTGCTTTAAATGTATAGTGCAGATTGGGCTTTACCTGCTAGGTCATGAGTGGGGAACTGGATCTGGCGGGTGGGCTAGATCCTTCCTTGCTCCCTATGACCCTTCTATGACCGGTGGGCAGGGCCACCCAACTGTCAGTCACCTGACCTCACTATTATGCCAGGTATCAAGTTGAAAGGGCCTTGTTGTTGATGGACGTCAGAGGCACTGTCATTCAGTACCTCTCGATTGATGGGTGCTGATTTGTGAAGTCCCTGAGTGGTTTCAATACAAACCTCTTGCAAACAGGCTTCAAAGTACAGTCGTACATCGGAAGTCTAACACAATCCGTTCCAGAAGTCTGTTCGACTTCCAAAATGTTCGACTTCCAAAATGCAGCTTCTGATTGGCTGCAGGAAGCGCCTGCAGCCAATCGGAAGCTGCAGAAGCCCTGTTGGACGTTCGGCTTCCAAAAGAACGTTTGAAAACCGGAACAACAACTTCTAGTTTTTGGTCATTTGGGAGACAAAATGTTCGACCCCAAGGCATTCGGGAGCAGAGGTACGACTGTAATGGCAGCCAGTCATGCATTTACCTCCCTTACACCTGATGTCACGTAAGATGACAGGCAAGTGGGCACTGTTTGGGGAAAATGGCTTTGTGGGCCAAATTAGGACCCCTTCTGGGCCTCATTAGGCATGTGGACAGAAAGTGTTTCACTCCTGTTTTAGGCTAAACTTAATATACTGTGACAAAGAATCAACGGCTTTGGAAACAAAATCAGGAAGAGTGACAATGACTGCTCATTTCCCTCTAATACAGTCTTGTTCAATATGTGCCATGGTTGTGTTTTTCAGGGCTTTTGAAAGTGTGCAAGACCAGGAATGCCTCCATTGCAAAAGAGGTTTGCTCTCGTAAAGTGAAATGTATGCTGTGTAAATGCTTAACTCTGCTCCAGTTTCAGTCAAGACTAAAGTTTGTTAGTTTATTTCAGGAATTTATCCCCCACATTTCAGTAGCTGTCTCGAAGCAGCTCATGTACAATGAGTAACATGGAAAACGTGTATTGAAACATCAGAAAATGGCAACATTAGAACAATATTCATAGTACAAAGGTCTCCTGAAATAAAACCATTTTAACCCAGCTTTTGAAACTTAAGCAGGGATGGTGCCTGCCTGATTTCTAATGGGAGGGAATTCCACAGATGTGAAATTTAGAAGAAGAAAAAAGCAGAAAGTTCCAGTAGAATTGTCGTACGTACATGACAAACTACACAGGGATTTAATGTCGTTTCAGCATGGTGCGGCAATGTGTGAATTAAAGCTCCTGCTTAATGCCTTTTTGCTTTGAGCAAACCATACTTCATATGTTGTTCGAGCTTCTCTTTGATCAGCCAAATAGGTGGTGGGTGGAGAGATGCCAATAAAATCTCTGAGTCAAGTGTAGACCCAAAGCTAAAATTTGCTATTTTTGGCTTGCCATTTTACCCAAGGGAGATAATAAATATTTCATGCTTGCTTTAGATGAGTTGCATGAGGGTTTGTGAGTCCAGTTTAATGCCATACTCTGCAGATGCAGAGAGATATACACAAGTGCTAACTGTTGATTATGCTTACAAATAGGGAAAAAATATATATCCAGAGATGGAGAAATGCAGCTTCCCTTTCCCCCAGAGCTAGCACAGAGGAGGAAAACCATGAAAAGAGATATTATTCCCTTCACCTCTATAAAGGATCAAGGCTTGTTTTTGTGGCCAATATGAGATCTGAACCAGGGCCTCGGAAACTCTTAACCTCTTTATCAAATCAGTACTAAACTAGTATTGAAACTCTGCAAAGCATCTTCCATAAAATGAGCAGTTCTCCACTTTCAGTTCTCCACTTTCATTATAGATTAAGTAAAGGGTGGGCAGACTTTAGGTTTGTGGGATCTGATTTTTTTTTTTAATAGACCCCGAAAGCTGTCCACCAATCAGAGCCAGGTGCAAATTACCAGGAAGGTGGAGCCAGCTACAAAAGGGTGGCTCAGGCAGTGGAGCCAGTGACCTATTGCCTCCCCATGAGCCATCCAGTGGGATGATCCATGTGTCGAAGTCTGCATCTGAAATACTACAGATCAGGGATTCCTAACAACCTAATAGGGGGGAGTCTTTTTGTTCCTTCTATTATTAAACAGCTGGAAGCCAGAAAACCTTGATCTGCCTCAAAATGGCAAATAATCTAGCAGAGCCCATCACTTGAAGCCTATGTGGTGGGACAGAACCTGACTTCTACTTTCCTGGAGGGTAGGTAAGGTTGGGCCTGCAGGTTGCATTGATGGGAGCCAATCCAGCAGTCCTGATGATGCAACCCTGTTGCTTAACCTCACCACCACCCCAGCCAGGTAGGCAGCAGTAACACCTGTTGCCCACCGCTGCTTTAGATGATCTGTTACTCTCTTTGGGGGCTCACGTGTGATGTGGCTGAGGGTTGGTGCATTAAGGCTCCTTTAGGACAAAGGGATGCTATAGATCATTTTCAGATCCCTTCCAGTCCCACGATGCCAAATCAATTCATGTGAAGATAAAGAAGGATGTAAAAATGAAATGCATTAGTAGAGCGATGGTGCTGAGACTCTGAGGTGACAAAGCATTCTATTGATATTAAGCAAATTGGGAGAAAAGAGCGTTCAGCAATTAGCGTACCCAGAAAACTAGGGAACCTTGTGTTAAAAAGCAACCATTTTTATTCCAGAAAGAATTAGCTTGGAATAAATTGTACCGTCTGTTTCTACTTTTGCAATCACTGACATGGATGATAATTGCCTTTCTACACTTTAGGGCATATTTCTGAGATCACAGAACATGGCAGCTATCCCTTAATGTGCTTTAATCACCTCTTTGCTCAGGCAGTTAAAGAAGTTGAAGCGTTTCCCCCTCTTTCTTCCTTCCAATCAATATTTTCCAGAGCGGTGCCTTTCCCCCTGTTTTATTTCCATTTTGATTTGTCCCTCCTCTCCCATTGTCCCTCTTTCCCCCCTCCTCCCCCCTTCCTTTTCTTGATTATAATACATGCCAGGGACAAATTCACTACTTCATGGATGAAGAACCTCAGGCCCACATGCAGCTCTCCACACTTAGTTACCTGGCCTCTGAGATTCTTCCCAGGCCACATGCCCTCTTCAGCCACACCCCTCACCAGCCCTGCCATACACACTCCATGAGTGTTTCTGCCAGGCAGAGCTCTTACCTTCCTTGCCTGGACTGATGATGGATAGAGATGCATATGTGTCAAGAAACAGGTCCACGGTACAAAGGTAAAACTAGCATTTATTGATGCGTCTACTTTTGCCTGTCACCCTGCCCACCACTGGCCCCCTGGAAGGCTGTCCAGAAGACAATCTGGCCCTTAGGCCAATCTAACCTCACCCCTGCACTGCTTGAAAGATAGCAGATAGCAGGCTGGGGTTCCTAATCACAAGTAAACGTACTTTCCTGTAGGCATGCCTCCTTGTTGCTTCAAGTGGCAGTCTTAAAGGGGGCAGCATTCCTTGCAATGCCTGCATAGATATTGCAGGACACATTGCTGGTAGCTGAAGCAGCTTGCCAAGCGGGGCAGGGCTGCAACAGTAGCCTCCTGGCAGCAGCATGGCTGGGAGGCAGAGTGAGACCAGGGCTGTCTGGATGAAGTGGTGTAGCCAACCCAGTGCTCCTGCTGGCAAGCCTACCTCATTCACAATTTTACGAACAGTACGCAGACTGAAACTCGGCCATCCTTCAAAATTCGCACTTCTTCAGATTTTGCCAGGCTGTTCTCCAGCCAAGTAAGGTGTACAAAAAAAGAGAGTATGCATTAGAATGAAGTGTGGATAAAAATGCATGCATATGTGAAAATAGCATACAAAAATTATAATGTCAGGAAAAAATATGTGCATTGCAAGGCAAATTTGCCTACATACATTAGAATTTTGCACTGAAATTGCTCTGAAATTGCTGCATTCTCATGAGGACTTGTTTTTAAAAGATTATTCAGAAACTGATGCAGGAATATGAGGAACTGAATGTGGAAAAACTGGAAACTGGAGGAAAACAAACCCTGAAATTGACAGATTTCCCCATCTCTATCAAGGGGACTCTCCAGCACCTGTTTGAAAAGTTGCTTACAAGCAAACTTGTAAGACGTGATGGGCAGGTGCAGACTCCTTAAGACTGTGGGATGTCTACTGTGGGTTCATGACTGGCTGCAATACCTGGCACATACCCACTCTGCAATCAGGAGCCTGTGTTTTGTTCATCACACTTTACATTCAGTTGGGCTGTGAGAAACACAACCGCTGTGTGAAACGGCTCCCTCAGCCACATTGGGTCACGGAAACATCCCAATGTGAGTAACTTGTGGCACTTGGATATGCTGACGATAAGGAGTTATTTAAAGCAAAGTTACTACGAGTCTGTTCCTTGCTGATGTCAGTAGCACTGAGCAAGCCAGGCAGGATCAGTCCCCAAGTCATCATAAGCAGGAAAAGGTATAACAGAGCATGCAGCAAGGTAAATCATACCCAGTGAATGCAGTTCTAATAGAAACGTCTCAGCCGCTCACATCTACTTATTCAGATAACAAATAACTCTCTCTAGGAGAGAGAGAGAACAGGGAGCTGGAGATTGAATGTATATATTACAGTCCAAATAAATATGAAAAGGCTGTTGCATGTGCCGGTATAAATCCCGGTGATCGCATGCACTTCCGTCACATGAATGCCACTGAAGAAGATGTGAGGAAATGAGAAAGTGGTGTTGCCCATCTAATAGGGAAGCAAAGGGGCTTTAGAACTTATTCAAAGGGGCAGGCTATAGATACAGATATGTGGAGATACATATCTTGAGTATATTATACTCAAGGCTCAGAAAGTAAAAGGAATTTGGACAGACGGTAACACAAGAAGTAACAATAAGGGGCTTATGAGCCAGCAGGCCCAGTATTTGTAGATCTGCATTCTGCTTCCCTGCTCTGGATAACAGCTGATAGCGCAGCAAGAAGCGTATATAGAGATCGAAGGAAATGGTTGGAACATGCTGTTATCAGGGTGGCCAGGCAGGCAGGTGGGAAGGCCAGCCTGCCGGCCTGCCCAGGTAGATAGGTGGCAAAGACAAAGTGGAATCCATAGGAGCAATCTCTTGCATGCTTGCTACACAAGCAGCGAGTCTGTGTGGGGCCAACCCATTTAAATGGGAAAAGGTGAATGTGAGGGTGTTTTGCTGCTGCCCAGCCCCTGCGTGGCATTCCCCGAGCTGAAAAGTGGAGAGAGGAGCAAAAGGGCTTTGGGAAGCCCCGTGCTGGCTAGAGGTGGCTCTCCAGGTAAAACACTTGGGTGCATGGCTGGCAGTAGTCCCTGCTTTGAGATCTCAAGCACTTTACAGCATTTGTAAAGGAGATAAAACCTTCTGTTGAATGTCCGGGTTCAGCTTCTCATCTGAATTTCACCCCCTGGACTGTTGGCTCGTCGTTTCAGCCTCGTATATAGTGTAAAAAAAAAAAAAGTGTGATTCTTCCAAACTTCCAGATTCCATCCCCAGGGGGACTAGTGAGAGGAGGAATGGATTCAGCATGTTGAGAATCTAGTGGCAGGCCACAAAGCTTAGCTATGCAAAATGGCTGAATTTGGTCCAGTGACTTGGGACATTGCTAGCTATCCTATGGAGATAGGCTGGGTTCCTCTCAGCATCAGGGTAACCAGGCTGCTGGAACTGTACAGGCCTGGTGTATTTTTTTTAAAAACAAACAAACAATTTTTTATTGGTTTCTAAAAAAAAATACAAGAACCATTTGTAAACACTTATCCAGCAGTACATCTAATGGTGTTCATTCTGTCCATTGGCTCTAGACGTAAACATATTCAACATTGAAACATAATGCTTAACATAACCTCTTCATTGAAAATATTGAGTGACTGGTATAACAAAGTCTTTGGTCATTAACATACTTAAAGAAAGGGATTCACATTTCTTGGAAGGTGTCTCTATCCTTGGCATGATTTTTATCCTCTTGGCTGATTGCCAAAACTAGAAGATGCAAAACCAGTAGAATCATTTTTGTTTTCAGTGAAAAAAAGTGTACACATATGCACAAAAGTGTTTCATGGGGAGTGGTTGCATTTGAAATGTAGTGTGTGTGTGTGTGTGTGCATACTCAATTGGCGCTGAGTCGTTTTAGGCTGCCTCTTTAACCCAAGAGGCCTGACTCCTCGTTTCCTGCTCTGGCAAACAGGCTGCGTGCTTCTCCTGTTCTGCTGGGATTAAGTCTGTCTCATTTCCCAATCTCTCACTGCAGGAAAGGAGCTGGAGGTGGGGACGTGTGAAATCACAGCATTGGACAGAGATATGAGCCATCCCAAGAGGATGATCGCCAGGCAGACAGCGCGGTGTGCTTGTCGGAGGGGTCAAGTGGCTGGAACAACGAAAGCAAAACCTGCATGTGTGGATGGTAAGAGAGCAAGGTCTCCTTCTCCCTCAGTTGATTGTTCCAAATATCTGTGGATCAGGTCCAACAAGGAATAAGAACATCTTTAAACGTGGAGAGAAATGTTGAGGCTTCTTGGTGCTCTCCTACTGATATACATCACAGTCTCTGTGAACTCTCCAATGCTATCAGGGACTGCTGTCTTTCCCCCCACTCTAAATCTATAGGTCTCTGCCAGGGGTGCTGAAACTAACCAGCTGAGGTTTTTCTAGTCAAAACTAAGATCCAATAGAGTTATAAAAAGAATAAAGTTATTACATTCAGTTTTGGTGAGGAACCTCAAGCCTGGGGGACAAATGTGGCCCCCAAGCCTCTCTGTCTGGCCTCAGGGACTCTTCCTAGGCCACAACCCATCACCAACCACATCTCCTACTGACCTTGCTTTGCAACCCCCTTGAGTGTTTTTGCCTGGCTGGAATGTGTCCTTGATAATGCCTCATGCTTCCCACTTTTGCCTTTGGCCCCACCCACAACTAGCCTGCTGCCTCAGGAAAGTTGCCCAGAAGGGAAAGTGGGTCTCAGGCTGGAAAAGGCTCCTCACCCTTGGGTTTGGACTGATGTGCAGTGCCGCTCCATCTGCGTGCTTCAAGAGCCCCCTCTCACTCTGAGGAGATACATAAGCCCTCTTCTGATAAGCATGTTGTTGTAAAGCAGTTATCGGTGCTTAGCATTTCTAGGTGCCCGCCTGAAGAGGAAGCCCATCTCTTTAAAAGCTCTGCAACTAAAGAAGAGTGTGCAGCTTCTCTGCTTCTCATTCTGTTGCTCCGCTTGTTCACTGTTCCCTTCTTTTCCATCCCCCACTAGCAGAGTTTGGATTTGATATCCCGCTTTATCACTACCCGAAGGAGTCTCAAAGCAGCTAACATTCTCCTTTTCCCTTCCTCCCCCACAACAAACACTCTGTGAGGTGAGTGAGGCTGAGAGACTTCAGAGAAGTGTGACTAGCCCAAGGTCACCCAGCAGCTGCATGTGGAGGAGCGGAGACTCGAACCCGGTTCACCAGATTACGAGTCTAACACTCTTAACCACTACACCACACTGGCTAGGTAACCTTGTGGGCTGTGTGCTATAGCGGGTGGGATATCAGATTGTTTGAGCGGTTGCACTGCTTCTTCTTCTCTGCTGTGAGCATCTGAGGAGACAGAGGCAATCTCTGGGAGAAGGGCAACTCACTATCTGTGTGGAGGCTTTATTGTGACTTAAAACACTGGACAACAAAAGTTCCGAAGGAGAGAGTAAGAGAGAGGGGAGCAGAGTTTATCCACACTTACCTTTTGCCCTGCCCTTTCCAGGCGGAAGTCTGCACCTTAAGGCTCTGTGCTGAGCAAACATCAACTTGGATTGAAGTTTGCTCCAATTGAGCTTTAAAGAGTGGGTTTCCATGGGGAAAGCTCTGGAGCAAAAAGAAAAGAAAAGAAGAAAGGGTGTGTGTGCTTGGACACAGAGCTTTAAATTGCAGGCTGTGCCTAGAAACTAGAAAGAGCAGAGGAAAGGTAAATGTGGATAAGCTGGGAGAGGGAGAGGGAAAGAAAGAGAGAGAGAGAGAGAGAGAGAGAGAGAGAGAGAGAGAGAGAGAATAGGACCTAGTGGGCAGGTCCTGAGAATACACTTGCTGTTGCTGATATCCATTAAGTAGAGTGATCAGGAAAGCTTTGGCCTGTCTGGGGAGAAACAAGAAAACCTCAGGGAAATAGCCATGTGTTTCGGATTCTGAGACTGAGGGTAACCTGGTCTTGAGCTGCATGGAAATGGTTTGGCTCCACAAAATCATTACTTTCCCATTCTAGGAATCTACTTGATCATATTTTGGGAGCTACTGTGTAAAAACAAAACAAAAATGCACTGGATTCTCTCTTGGACCTTAAGGCCTTACAAGAAGCTTCCCTGAGGCTTTGGCGTGTGGGCATGTGTTACCTTGTGTTGTAATGTCCTGAGATTGTGCAACAGTGACATGCTACCTAGTGTTGCTATGTGTGTGTGGGAAGGTGTCCCCCGCCTGTGGGTGGGTGTTTGGTACATGTGGCGAATATGAGGCTATTCTGAGCTCACAGGTGGCCTGTTTTCTCACGTTAGGGGGTGTTATGACCACATCATAAAGCTTCATAGATTTGATCCACTCTCCCCTTTCCCCTTCCCTCTTCCTTTGCTTTCATTTCCACTCTGTTCCCCCCTTTTCCTCTTCCAGTACTCCGTTTCAAAGGGCCTTTCTCTGTGATGAGAAAAATATGTCTTAACAGTGCCACGTTATGTGTGCTTATATAGAAGTAAACCTCACTCTATTTAAGTAAGTAGTTAGTATGTGCAGGCGTGCTCACCTGTTTTGTGGAATCCCACTCCCATGAAATGGAGGGGGTGGTCTCGCTGGTGGGGAGAAAACAGACTCATTTAGGAGGGCAGTTGGTTAACTGCATCTTTATTGTGGTGCAGTGTAGCACAATGGTTAGAGTGTTGGACTGCAACATGCGAGAGCAGCACTTGAATCCCCACTCAGTCATGAAGCTCATGTGTCATAATCTCTCCCCCAAACAGCAATGTGGGGAGGATAAAAATAGAGAGGGAACACCCCTTTGAGCTCCTTGGAGAAAAGGTGCGATATAAATATAAAAATAAGTAAAGAATTGCACTATGAAATTGACATATGAAAAAGCCCAAATCTCACATTTTATCCATGGTTCTTGTTAAACCTGTGCTTAATTTTTGTCCCTTTCTGCCTCTCTCTCTCCATACTTTCCTTCCTCCTTACCTCCCTGGCTACGTTCGGCAGCCCAGATCATTGTCAACAAACAGTGGTGCGGAATGGAGCCTTGCGATGACGGGGAGCAGTGCACTTTGTTAATAAACCGTTCAGGCTGGAGCTGCACTCGGCAACTGGGGCGAATAAAGACAGTCACGGTAAGCAAACTGCTGAGCAAAAACAACTTCCTCTTTTGGGGACTGAGCTGTGGGAAGGGAGGGAGGGAAGGAGGGAGGAAGTTGCCCATAGCAGGGGCAGGATTCTTGCTAGAGGGCATCTTGTGAAAAGAGAGAAGCAGCTTGTGAGCCAAGAAACTTCTTTTCGGCCCATGGCAGATCTGTACTGGCTGCAGCAACCGTGTTCTGCCTAGAGCAATTCTGTAGGTACCAGCTGTGCAGAAATACCACAAGGCGAGGTCTGTTCCTGTTCCTTGTATCCAGACCCTGTGGTGTAGCCCTTTTCTGTCATTCTCAGATTGCATGGAGAATAGGGATGTAATCTGATTCTTGGTACCAAGGTATGGGGAAATCCTGCAAGCAAGACAACAAGCCAGTTAGAGGCTTGGTCAGCTCATAGGAAATTTCACCAGCATCCCTGGTAGGGAATAAATAGTGGAGGGGATATTGGACTGGCCTGCCCCCAACATCTCCTTTCCTTCCCACCAGTGGCGTAGCGTGGGTTGTCAGCACCCGGGGCAAGGCAAGTAATCCCCTGCACCCCCCACGCTATGCCACTGCTTCCCACATTGTCTGAAGGAAGACTACATATGTGTCTGGCTGAAGATGCTCAGAAGGTTTCTGTGATCCAGAACCATGCCCAGCCAGGGTTCCCAGCCACAAGGAGGGTTTATAAGCACATCCTGGCAAACAGATGAAGAATCTCCATCCATCTTGTCTTGGGTGTGGCTGGCAGGGACGGGATGTCAGAGGCGAGGCTGGGGTGCATTTATTCCCACCTGCATTCTTTGAACCAGTTCAAAAATGGGATGTGGCCTACCATCTAGATTTTTGAGAATATTAGCCTTCAAAACACCATATCCAGAGGGCTCTTTTGGAGGGAGGGGGTCACTATATGCGCCATCACAGTGGAGCAAGGGAGGAAATGCTGAGAAGCAGAGGATGCCTGAAGCGACGCTCAGCTTTGGCAGAATATGCGGTGCCGTTTCTTCCCGTTTATCCTGTGAGCACAGGGAGGCATCGCCTGCCCCTTCTGCCTGTGGGGAATCAGCCTTGCTAATAGAGTTGGTACATGGGCCACGCACGAGGGCTTTGCCAGCTATTAATATAACTCACTTGCAGGGACCCACATCAAGCAATTTGTTTTGTTGAGTTCACCGCAGGCGCAGGAGGGATCGTGCTCTCTGAGGGCCTTTTAAAACGACTGCTGCCTAGACAGGTAGAGATGGATTTGGGTGGATCTTAAACAAAGCTCTTGGCGGTGCAGAGAGGGAGTAATAAGGCCTGCAAAACAAAGGAGCTCCATTTTTTCCTCCATACAAGTTGACAGCAGAATAGTAAGAGTCCCGGATTACTGCCTTGGCTTTGTGCTGGGTGTGCTGCAGTGTGGCTTCAGCAAAAATGAATGTGCATCATAGTTAAAGCTGGTTCTTCTTTATTCCTAAGGGAAACTCCAGCCACTCTCCCTCTGTTCAGTTTGCCAGACTTCAGCCCATGCTTTAGAGTGCTTTAAGGCACCTCCCATGCTGTTGCTTTCCTGGTCTCTCTCATTAATCTCCTTCTCCGCCTGCTGGTCTAACAGGTGGGGGAAGAAGATGAAAGAAGGAGCGGGCTGTGAGTGCAACTGCTGCATCCCTCCTTCCACCTGTCTGTGTTTTATGGTGGCTGTTCCTCCTATTGCCCATGTTCAGACTGCGAGTGCTGTTCTGAATGTAGCTGCAATGGGACCAGTCATACACAAGAGGGAAAGAATAAACAGGTTCAGGGGAATAGCAGAGTTCGCAGATGTGCAAAAAACATGGGAGGGGGGGCCTTAAGTGTGAAGGGCATTCCCCCACCCCAAAAACCTAATGAAGACTAAGCATGCTAAGGTTGTGGAAGAATGACTGACCATTAGCAGGGGGGGGTGAAGGGAGGGGCAGCCAATGGAAAACCATGTGGGATGGGAGTGGAAAAAGAATGGAGTATGAGGAGGAGGCCATGACTGAAATGTGGAAAAGATTATTCTGCACAGCAGTATCCTGTTGTAGGTCCCATTGCGGTGGGTGTTAGGATTTTGTGTTGCCATTGCTTCAAGATGCATAGGGTGGCATCCATGTCTTGCTCCCTTCCACATTTTATCTTCACAACAACCTTGCAAAGGTAAGACCTAATGAGAGGGACTAGCCCAAGGTCACCCATGAAATTTGGCAACCTCTGTAGATCAGGAATGGCAGGTTTGTTTGTTTGTTTTGTAAAATTTATATACCACTTGATTGTAGAAAAAAACTCAAAGCGGTTTACAGAAAAGATAAAACAATAAAAAACTTTAAAAACTTGCAACCTTAATTTAAAGCAGACAGTGAAAGCGAGAATAGACTCAAATTAAAAACTCACACAAACTTTCTAAACATCTGGGTAGATTTGTCTAAATAAGAATGTCTTGAGCAGGCACCAAGACGAAGTCAGGGATGGATGGTTATCTTAACTGAGTTGCACAAATGTCGGTGCAGACCACCTTCTACTTCTTATTTCAGTTCATGGCAATTCAGAGCATGTCACTTCTATATCAGAAATGACACAGGAAGTGGTTCCTCCCCCCCCCATGGGGATTCAGTGCTGATGGGGAACAATGACATGGTCAAGCCCAGGGTTGCTGCCCTTCAGAAATCTGGGGAAGCGGAGGTGTGGTGATGCTGGAGAACCACTTCTTCATACGCCACATTCACAAAGGTGGCTTAAAGCTTAAAAACATTTTTCCTGGAACATCTGAAGCCACCCTGTTAACTACAGGAGAGCGTGTGGATTGTAATTTGGGTTATTCACCCTTTTCTAGTAGTTTTGGGGAACAGGCACATCAGAACAGCATAGCAGTGCTTTTTGTGGATGTTGGGTAGTGGAGAAACTTGACGTTTCACTTGAAAACCTGTTTCCCCCCTGCTACCATTCTAGAGCTGAGGATTATCTTTGGCCTGCCAAGAAACTTGTGATGCCTCCAGTTCCACTTTCCTACGTTTGGGGCCTTTGCAGCCATGGCTGGCCTATTTCATGCTCTCCCAGCCTCTCTGGAGCTGGCTTTTGAGCAGAGCTGCTTGGCTGTCTTCCACCACCTGACGTGGGAAGGGACGTAGGGTCAAGAGTGCACCCAGGAAGAAGAGGGGTGTGTGCCAGTTGATTTCTTATTCAAAAGGCATCGGAGCTGAATGCTCCTTTAGCAGCACCCTCCCAGATGATCACACGGATCCAGGAGCAGCTGGCAGGCTACTGGATGTGCGAGGCCCAGCAGCCCGTGCTGCAGTCAGCTCAGTAAGTGAATAACAATGAATGGGGAGCTGGAGGTTGCTTCAGAAGCGCACTGGGATATTTTATTAATGCCAGAGGCTTCAAGGTTTAGAGGGAGGTGAGCGATGCTCCCCACAGAAGAGCGGAGATGGGCATTGCCAGGCCAAGCCCGTTTGCCTCCCATGTACGTTTTGCTCTGGGCATCAGTTGGGCTGCCAAGACCAGCTGCCAGGAGGGCTCCTGCACCTGTAAATAATGGCACTGAAGAAATTGCACCAGATGCAACTTCCCCCGCTGGCCTCCCCCCGGCCACGTTTCACATCTGCTGAAATTCTTCCTTCCCCCAGTGCAATGCTTAGGGCAGAAGTTAGGCATCATACTTGATCCAGGGCTGCCATGGAAAATGGCAGCCCCACCTCAAGTTCTCACACACCCATATTATGATGCAAGCATGTTGTGCATTTCCCTGTTCCATGCTGCCACACACAGTGGGGGAGATGGGTGGAGAAATATATAGCACGATGATATTGCAATGTGGATGCATGTGTCTGAACATTATGGAGATAAGAAAGCAAGCTTTTGGGGTGGGGAGGGGCAAGGCTGATCGGTTGGGTCCTAAGCTGGCCCTGCTTCCATCATCTAATAACATTGGGGCTGATATGGGCCCAGTGATTTTGCCAGCTCCAGCCTAGGGCAGTGATTTGCCTGCACCCCTACCTTCCACCCTGGCTGACAAGCTGAGCAAGTCTGCAGACAGGGCAGTAAAGCCACATCGGTGCAATCAGGGTTAGGATTGCACTAAAGCCATCAGTAAAGGGAGCCATTCTATGTTAAGTGTTGTATGAAGGAAGTGCATTCTTTTTGTCTGAATCGGCCACCAATCAATTCAGTTGGGTAACCTGGAGTTCTTCTATTATGTTCAATAAATAAGAAACTCTCTCCACTTTTTCCTCCTCACACATAATTTTGTGAGCCTCTGCTGTCCCCAGACACCAGCTCCCTCAGCCTGAAAGTGGAGATGAGCGTTGCACCCCTTAGTCGAATTTGACTGGACCATCCAGGGGTCCTTTACCTTTTTACCTCTTACACCTCATTGCCTTTCTTCATCCATGTTTCATCAAACAAAACATCAAAACACATTGCCATTTCTTTGAAGGAAATGTGCTCCAACCTGTTAATCATTTTCACTGCCTTTTGATACACTTTCCCCAGCAAATATATATATATAAAGAGACAGAGACAGAGAGAGGAAATGTGGTTTACCCCTCACAGAGCTACAGTCACCAGTACCTATTACAAACCACATTGTCTTTGCACAGCCTAAGTATATGCAATTAAAATAATCAAATATTCCTCCTTGCCTACATGCCTGTTTTTCAATATAGTGCTTTCTTTACCCATTTCCTCTGCTGTCCCCATATATATCTCCCTTTCTAGATTTTAAGCCCTTTGGAAGCAGGGGCTTTTCAAAACCTGTTCTTGGTTAAGTGGCATGCACATTTATATCATAGTATTATATAAATAAGAACAATTATTTCACATTTGAGTTATTTCAGAACTCTCTGGTGGATGCTGTCAATACTGTGTTGTTGATTTTGTTTAAAAAATAATGTGAATCAGCGGAAGGACTTAATCTCTTGTCGCTTCCTCTTTCCTGCCCAGAAAAAGTGTGTTTAGGTGTCTGTCCAACATCTTCCCATGAAGACCAACACAAAGAATGCATTCAGTTTCATCCTCCTCCAGTAATTCCTTTCACATCTTTGTCCTCTTAACGGCCTGACTGCCTCCTGGCTAGTTTCACGCTTCTGATGCGTTTAAAGATGTTTTAATCATTGACATATTGTTTTTAACAATATGGTGCACTAATACTTTTTTTTTTTTTTTGCTTGCTTGCCTTATTGTCAACTTAAATTTGTTTTTTTCCAGAGAGTTTCTTTTATTCTCATTGGGCAAGACCTGCTTTTTAAAAGAAGCCTTCTTGTCTTTTAAAGCTTCCTTGACTCTGCTCATTAATTCTGCTGGCATTCTGTCGGACTTATTAGTCACTCTCATGTTCTGTGGTATACATTCTAACTGAGCTTCTATTGTTGTGGTTTTAAATAACTCCCTGAAGGGATTTGACCCTCTTGACTCTCTAATTCAACCTCCTCCTGTTTAATCTCCTTTTTTAAAAAAAAGTTTTCTCTTTTAAAATTAAATATAACTGTTGGATTTCCTGGACAACTTTCTCCTCATAACCATATCTGTTACATTTGATTGCACTGTGTTCAGTCTTCCCAGTCAGTCTGATATGCCCAGTGTCACCTCCCCTACAGTCCGTTCTATGACTAAGGCTCCTCAGGTTTGAGGAGGGAACTAAAGACAATTTTGACTGCCTTAGGTCACATAACATCTGCACCATCCATTTAAAGTACTGTCGTACTTTGGTTTTTGAACAGCTTAGTTCTCGAACGTTTTGGCTCCCAAACGCTGCAAACCTGGTAGTGACTGTTCTGTTTGCGAACTATTTTTGGAAGTTGAATGTCCGAAGGGGGTTCTGATTGGCTGCTGGAGCTTCCTGCAGACAATCAGAAGCCGTGATTTGGTTTCCGAATGTTTTGGAAGTCGAACGGACTTCCGGAACAGATTCCGTTAGACTTCTAAGGTACAACTGCAATCCACTTTTAGAGTCATGGTTTCCCCCAAAGAATCCTAGGAACTGTAGCTTGTTAAGGGTGCTGAAAGACCCCAGGAGACCTTAATAAGCTACAGTTTCCAGAAATCTCTGGGAGAAGCCACAACTCTTAAGTGATATAAGTGAGTTTTAAATGCATGGTGTGGATATAACCCCCTTCATGGATCACTGCCTTGCCGTGGCGAAGGGGCTTGAATAACTCGGAGAAGCTATGAGCTATGCCGTGCAGGGCCACCCAAGATGGACAGGTCATAGTGGAGAGTTTTGACCAAACGTGATCCACCTGGAGCAGGAACCGGCAAGCCACTCCAGTATCCCTGCCAAGAAAACTCTATGGACAAAGACAAAAGGCATATAAAAGTTATGACCCTGGAAGATGTGCCCCTCAGGTCGGAAGGCGTCCAACATGCTACTGAGGAAGAGCGGAGGACAAGTACAGTGGTACCTCGCAAGACGAATGCCTCGCAAGACAAAAAACTCACTAGACGAAAGGGTTTTTTGTTTTTTGAGCTGCTTCGCAAGACGATTTTCCCTATGGGCTTGCTTCGCAAGACGGAAACGTCTTGCAAGTTTGTTTCCTTTTTCTTAACACCGTTAATACAGTTGTGACTTGACTTCGAGGAGCAACTCATAGAACGCGGTGTGGTAGCCTTTTTTGAGGGTTTTAAAGACTTTGGTGATTTTTGAAGCTTTTCCAAAATCACAAGATGACAAAATCACAAGATGACAAAACTCGCGGAACGAATTAATTTCATCTTGCGAGGCACCACTGTACAAGTAGATTCAGAGCTGATGAAGCGGCTGGGCCAAAGCCGAAAGGACGCTCAGTTGCGGATATGCCTGGAAGCGAAAGGAAAGTCCAATGCTGTAAAGAAAAATATTGCATAGGAACCTGGAATGTAAGAACCATGAACCTTGGTAAGTTGGATGTGGTCAAAAATGAGATAGCAAGAATAAATATTGACATCCTGGGCATCAGTGAACTAAAATGGACGGGAATGGGCGAATTCAGTTCGGATGACCATCATATCTACTACTGTGCGCAAGAATCCCGTAAAAGAAATGGAGTGGCCCTCATAGTCAACAAAAGAGTGGCAAAAGCTGTATTGGGATGCAATCTCAAAAATGATAGAATGATCTCGATACGAATCCAAGGCAGACCTTTTAACATCACAGTAATCCAAGTTTATGCACCAACCACTGGTGCTGAAGAAACTGAAATTGACCAATTCTATGAAGACTTACAACACCTTATAGAATTGACACCAAAGAAGGATGTTCTTCTCATTATAGGGGATTGGAATGCTAAAGTAGGGAGTCAAGAGATAAAAAGAACAACTGGCAAGTTTGGCCTTGGAGTTCAAAACGAAGCAGGGCAAAGGCTAATAGAGTTCTGCCAAGAGAACAAGCTGGTCATCACAAACACTCTTTTCCAACAACACAAGAGACGACTCTACACATGGACATCACCAGATGGGCACCATCGAAATCAGATTGATTATATTCTCTGCAGCCAAAGATGGAGAAGCTCTATACAGTCAGCAAAAACAAGACCTGGAGCTGACTGTGGCTCAGATCATCAGCTTCTTATAGCAAAATTCAAGCTTAAACTGAAGAAAGTAGGAAAAACCACTGGGCCGGTAAGATACAATCTAAGTCAAATCCCTTATGAATACACAGTGGAAGTGAGAAACAGGTTTAAGGATTTAGATTTGGTGGACAGAGTGCCTGAAGAACTATGGATGGAGGCTCGTAACATTATACAGGAGGCAGCAACGAAAACCATCCCAATGAAAAGGAAATGCAAGAAAGCAAAGTGGCTGTCCAATGAGGCCTTACAAATAGCGGAGGAGAGAAGGCAAGCAAAATGCGAGGGAGATAGTGAAAGATACAGGAAATTGAATGCAGACTTCCAAAAATAACAAGGAGAGACAAGAAGGCCTTCTTAAACGAGCAATGCAAAGAAATAGAGGAAAACAACAGAATGGGAAGAACCAGAGATCTGTTCAAGAAAATTGGAGATATGAAAGGGACATTTCGTACAAAGATTACCATAATAAAGGACAAAAGTAGTAAGGACCTAACAGACACAGAAGACATCAAGAAGAGGTGGCAAGAATACACAGAGGAATTATACTAGAAAGATATGGATGGCGCGTACACTCCAGGTAGTGTGGTTGCTGACCTTGAGCCAGACATCCTGGAGAGTGGAGTCAAATGGGCCTTAGAAAGCACTGCAAATAACAAAGCCAGTGGAAGTGATGGTATTCCAGCTGAACTACTTAAAATTTTAAAAGATGATGCTGTTAAGGTGCTACACTCAATATGTCAGCAAGTTTGGAAACTCAGCAGTGGCCAGAGGATTGGAGAAGATCAGTCTACATCCCAATCCCAAAGAAGGGCAGTGCCAAAGAATGCTCCAACTACTGCACAATTGCACTCATTTCACATGCTAGCAAGGTTATGCTTAAAATTCTACAAGGAAGGCTCAAGCAGTATGTGGACCGAGAACTCCCAGAAGTGCAAGCTGGATTTAGAAGAGGCAGAGGAACCAGAGACCAAATTGCAAATATGCACTGGATTATGGAGAAAGCTAGAGAGTTCCAGAAAGACATCTACTTCTGCTTCATTGACTATGCAAAAGCCTTTGACTGTGTTGACCACAGCAAACTATGGCAAGTTCTTAAAGAAATGGGAGTGCCTGATCACCTCATCTGTCTCCTGAGAAATCTCTATGTGGGACAAGAAGCTACAGTTAGAACTGGATATGGAACAACTGATTGGTTCAAAATTGGGAAAGGAGTACGGCAAGGCTGTATATTGTCTCCTGCTTATTTAACTTATATGCAGAATTCATCATGCGAAAGGCTGGGCTGGATGAATCCCAAGCCGGAATTAAGATTGCCGGAAGAAATATCAACAACCTCAGATATGCAGATGACACAACCTTGATGGCAGAAAGTGAGGAGGAATTAAAGAACCTTTTAATGAGGGTGAAAGAGAAGAGCGCAAAATATGGTCTGAAGCTCAACATCAAAAAAACGAAGATCATGGCCACTGGTCCCATTACCTCCTGGCAAATAGAAGGGGAAGAAATGGAGGCAGTGAGAGATTTTACTTTCTTGGGCTCCATGATCACTGCAGATGGTGACAGCAGTCACGAAATTAAAAGACGCCCTCTCCTTGGGAGAAAGGTGATGGCAAACCTAGACAGCATCTTAAAAAGCAGAGACATCACCTTGCCAACAAAGGTCCGTATAGTTAGAGCCATGGTTTTCCCAGTAGTGATGTATGGAAGTGAGAGCTGGACTATAAAGAAGGCTGGTCGCCGAATAATTGATGCTTTTGAATTATGGTGCTGGAGGAGACTCTTGAGAGTCCCATGGACTGCAAGAAGATCAAATGCATCCATTCTTAAGGAAATTAGCCCTGAGTGCTCACTGGAAGGACAGATCGTGAAGCTGAGGCTCCAATACTTTGGCCACCTCATGAGAAGAGAAGACTCCCTGGAAAAGACCCTGATGTTGGGAAAGATTGAGGGCACAAGGAGAAGGGGACGACAGAGGACGAGATGGTTGGACAGTGTTCTCGAAGCTACAAACATAAGTCTGACCAAACTGTGGGAGACAGTGGAAGACAGAAGTGCCTGGCGTGCTCTGGTCCATGGGGTCACGAAGAGTTGGACACGACTAAACAACAACAAGTGGATATAACCTTATTCAAAACCCTGCCAGGTTCTCAGCAGCAGGGAAGAAGGGAGATTGGAAAAGCACTCTTGTGTTCCATCCTTTTGCCTGACTTTTTAAAACAACTTCCCTCCCATTAGAAATATGGGGGTGGTTTTGCAGGTGAGGCTGAGAAGACTATGAATCTTTCGGAACATACCTTTTGCTGGTCCTCTCTGCCAGACCCTTCAACTGATGTTGAAGCTGGTATGTCAATAGGGTCAGTGTCCTGGATGTTTCCATGTTGGTAGGGAATCTGAGAATCTGACATCTGATCTCCCTTTCTGACACAGAGCTCTTTTATGGCGGAAGAAGATCTGATGCATTCCCCTTAGGATGCCCTCCTATGGGACATAGGATTGCAGTGTGTTCTAAGGCTTTGTCATATTTACAAATGTTATGACTTGTATGTGCATTTGCATCCATTCCACATACGGAAAGTTAAAACCACCCAGTATTCCAACCTTTTCCTCCTTTGGCTACCTCTCTTGATTTCTTTCTCCATCAAAGATCTCTCCCAGAGCTTGCTCAGAGTTGTATGTTTACTCTCCAACACCAAATTATTTTATAGACCCTAAAGTTTCCACACACAGTGATTCAGTGGAAGAGTTTATTCCTCTTACGTTTTCTAGTTTAGTGTTAAAGTGCCCTCTTTAACGCATAGAGGAACATCACTCCCAATATCCCCCTCCTCATTTTTTCTGCATCCTGGGTCATCTGGTTTCCCTCCACTTCCCCCATCTTGCCCTGGAAGCCTCCAGCTAGCATTGTTTCATAAACAGAACATTATGTCCCTCTCCATACATCATTTTCATGTGCAATTTTCACCCACAACTCTTTGGTCTCGCCGGCTGTCATTTCTTCCTGTATGCCCTTTGCCAAGATCTATCTCTCCCTTACTTCCATGACCTAAAATATTGACACCATTACCCTCAAGGGACAAGTAACATCCTGAACCAGATGGTCCCCCACCTCCTGGCAGCTTCCTTTCAGATATCTTTCTAGAAGATGCTCTGCAGCCTTTTGGATATGAAAACACCAGCAGTCTGGTTCCATTGCTGTTCAGGCAGAACCTGCCTCTCTTGTGCAGGCTCAGTCTCTCCCCAGAAGTTCCCTAGTGCCTAACAAATCTAAACCTTTCCCCCCAATGCCACTGCCTCATCCATGCATTGAGACCCCGCATGTAATTCTCCAGCTGTTAAGGGGAGATAAATCCACCTTGGGCTTTCGGGACAGGGGATGATGGAGGAGGGGTGTGTGAGGAGCGGAGAGACTCATCCATATTTATCAAACGCAATCGCAGATTTGGCAAATCCCATCCCAATCGCCCCAGCTCTTATTTTGCATTATTAAATATTCATGCAAGCTGGTTGACAATGTGGGGTTTGCACATTTTTGCCACTGAATCATTTATGTACAAATCAGGGGAAACACAGAACCCTGCAAAAAAGGAAAAAAAGGTGACTCATTGGAAAAGGTTCAGAAAAGGGCAGCCCCGATGATCAAGGGGATCTCTCCTATGAAGAAAGGTTGCAGCATTTGGGACTTTTTAGCTTGGAGAAAAGTCGAGCAAGAGGCAACATGAATGAAGCTTGTAAAATTATGCATGGCGCTGAGTAGCTGGGTAGAGGAACATTTCCTCCCTTATGACACTAGGACTTGTGGACATCAAATGAAGCTGCATGGTGGAAGATTTGTGACAGATAAACTCTCTCCTGCAGGAGGCAATGGTGACAACCAACGTATATGGCTTTAAAAGAGGGCTGGACAAGTTCATGGAGGAGGGGGCTGTCAAAGGTTACTACCCATGATGGCTGTGCTGAGCCTCCACAGTTTGAAGCAGCAATGCTTCTGAATACTAGTTGATGGGAACCATAGGAAAGGAGACTGCTGCCATGTCCATCTTACAGGCTTGCCACAGACATCTGAGTAGCCGCTGTGAGAACAGGATGCTGGAGTAGAGGGATCACTGGCCTGAGCCAGCAGGCTATTTTTATGTTCTTACTTTAAACTGTAATCCACCTGGTTGTGGCCTTTTGCAAGAAAGTTTGTAAGCAGGGACAGTGCACCTCCTGAACCTTCCATATTGGGAGCCATGCACAGCCTCCACTCTGTAACTTGTGTTCACTTTCCTTCTATAGAAACTAACATTTTATGAGGCAGCACTTTGAAAAGCTCACAGAACAGAATGAGGGCAGCGTTTCTACTTCATCCTGGAACCATCCCCATAATGGGGAATTAAGGTTTCTCTTAGGGCAGGTCTGATAGAAATGTTAATGCCCATACCAAAAAAATCAATCGGGTTTCTACTGAACTCTGCAAAAAATTTGAATGTGACTTCTACTTTTCTTTCTTTCCTGTGGAAAAATTCATACTAATCTAGTCCTCTGGGGAAAACACTTGCTCCCTCCTCCTTTTCCACAGCTCCCAAACTCTTGCATATCATTCTCCAACCCAAAGGAAAAAGCTGAGGGTGAGATTAAGGAGTAAAATCCGGAGCAAATGTGCTTAAAGCTGTTACGATCTGCCACCTGCGAGTGTGGCACATGTCAGTGGGACTTAACAGGATAATGGCAAGCTGATTAGGCACAGGTCGGTGCGTGGGCCACCTTCCACTGCACCTTCATACACAGCTGAACATCCAGAATTCACAAGGAGCTGGGAAAGATAGGAATTGCTTAGCCGGTTTTGTCTGTGCTCTTGAGCCGAGGCTCACAAATAATTAACAATAATAATAATAATTTATTATTTATACCCCACTCATCTGACTGGGCTTCCCCAGCCCAGCCTCCTTTTTGGAAGCTCCTTTTGTTGGGCTTCCAACAAAATATTAAAATACCATAATGCATCATACATTAAAAGCTTCCCTAAGCAGGGCTGCCTTCAGATGTCTTCTAAAAGTCTGGTAGTTGTTCTCTTTGACATCTGGTGGGAAGGCATTCCACAGGGCGGGTGCCAGTACCAAGAAGGCCCTCTGCCTGGTTCCCTGTAACTTGGCTTCTCACAGTGAGGGAACCGCCAGAAGGCCCTCGGTGCTGGACCTCAGTGTCTGGGTAGAACGATGGGGGTGGAGACACTCCTTCAGATATACTGGACACAAAGTGTCCGTCAAACCTCTGTCACATCTCAGCGCACCCATTCATGTGTTCCACGGTCATGTTTGAATGTCACTTGTGTCACACGTCTGGGCTCATAAAGCTGAACATCCAAAGAGCCTACAGGTGTCCGGCTGTTTGTAGTGAACAGGAGGAGGGAGCTGGCCCCATAGAACAAGAATGGGACCTAGCTACATGTTACATCAGGAGTAAGGAACCTGTTTCAAACGGAGAGCTGTGTTCTCTTCCAGGCAGCCTTCCGAGGATCACATGTCAGCGGTGTCCACAACAAATTAACAGGAGGCTAGTTTTTACACGTACACAGCCCTTGGTATCTTCCATTCAGACAAGCAAAAGGCCTTAGCAGAATTCAAGGCCACAGCAGTCCAGCCAGGCAAAAACAGTCTGGGTTTGTGAAGCAGGATCAGTGAGGGAGTGGGGCCTGAGGAGAGGTCTTAGTGCCACAGCACTCTGCATTTGGGCCTGAGGTGCCCTACCCCCATGCTGTGCTAGTGATGCACTTGGCAAGCAAGTTGTGGCCTTAAAAAAATTAAATACAAGACTTGAGGGCAGGGGAGAGGGCATTGGGACACTTGTACCACAGCACACAGCCAATTTTGTCATTGATGTAATGTGACATTATGCCCTTTTTAATTTTAAATTTAGTCAAGTTTGAGGTGCAGTGTCAATCAAATGGTACATCAGAATTAAACCTTTGAGGTGGAACATCATGCCATAAGATCTATGGCATGTGGAATTAACATTTGAAGAGTTGTACTACTGAATATTTGCATTCAAAGGCACATACTCTGATTTTGTTTTGCGAAACACTTGGTTTGGCTTTTGTTCAGTGGAGGGTATCAATGTTCCCCTTGAGCTCCCAGGAGCTCCCAGTTGGCTCATGGAGCTGCCTGGCTGAGGTAGAATGATCTGAAAAACTGGGAATGCAGAGAGAAAAGACAATAGGTTGATCGAGAGCATTATCTATGCTGACTGCAACTTCTGTTATCTCCTAGACTTGTTCACATGTTACACTGGACACAGGTACAAGCTGTCTTTAGTACACATGTACAAGGTTTTGTGTGAAAGACTGTTGCCTGAGGCAAACTATAACTCCAAGAGGTTATACAATACAGTACAATATACCCAATCCCTTTATGGCTTCTTCTTCTCTAGGTCTCCTGACAGCCATGGTGTACCTGCCCATGAGAGCAGCTTCTCTACTTCCTGCACACGGATGCTGCAGTTCAGCGATCAAATCATCTTGGGGGAAAGGGAGTGACCAGCTTCTTCAACATGGGTTCATCCCCATGAATTGGGGCCCATGCCAACTGTATTTCCTCTTGTGCCTGAACATGGAACACAAAGGCTACCAACAGAGTATAATGGGGTTGTACCTGTGAGATTTCCTCCACTTTTTTTCTTTCCCTTTCTTCCCCATAGCAAATATAACTATTTCTGGCTTATTTTGTGGGTTTCTAAATATGAAATGCAGTTTCCCCTAGATTTCTCCCCCCTCGAAATGACAACAGAGGATTTGTGCCACTTGGTACTCAAGATTTCTACAGGCCTCTTGGATTTGGGGAATGGCTGCCTCCTTCAGACATATGGCTGTGACAGACTGAGGCAGTTGCTAAGAGTCTGGGATGTTCTCCAGTTGCTGTGAAGAAAATGTTCTCTTTTTCCCTGTGCCTCTTCCTTTTACTTGTTCGTTCTCTCCCCCTCCCTCCCCCAAATCCAATGGAGATGAGGAGATGGGGGGGGAATGGTACGTGTCATGGCTGCCACTCCTGACTGTGGCCTTCTCTGCCTACATAGGAGAGGAAGTTCACCAAAGGCATGGGGCATACTGAAAGAAAGAAAGAAAGAAAGAAAGAAAGAAAGAAAGAAAGAAAGAAAGGTCCTTGTGAAATGGCAGGGTAAATAACCTGGACAAAAAAAACAAATGTGTGTATTTAATGAGCTTTCCTCTTCCTTTTGTGTTTACAGCTTCTTATTTATCTCCATTTACTCATGGCACCTACCCAAACGTTGCCCTTCACCACTTAATGGGAGCAAGCTCAAAATCTGAGCAGAATTGATTTAATATGATTACCTGCATGCCATTGTTCATGCATTCTGACTGGAAAAAGATATTCATTCATGACTGGTTTTAGAAAAGCATAAAACTCCCATCCAATTTTCCCCCTCAGACTAGTTCAACCTGTTTGGACAGCCTTGGAAATCTCTGAAGTGGTTGTTTTTTGCCAGGCATATTGCGGCCCTGGGCCTTTGAAAGAGATCCCTCTTCAATGTTTGAACTTTTAACTGCAGCGCTTGCTTCTTCAAGCTATGCTATATAGGAATTAAAGCATCCAGGTTGCAGTTTCTCCCATGATTGATTTGGGCTCTAGTACTAAACTGGAAGTGGAAGAGAAACTACCACAAACCAAAGGTTGAGATTAAGGCAGAGACCTTGTCCTAATTGCTAGCCTGGGCTTTGCCATCCACACCAGTCCTGGTCCACCCCAGCCTGCCCTTTGCACTATCAACCAACAGCTAGGGGATTGGTACAGCTATTTGTGGTTTGCCAGTGTCAGGAAGAATCCAAGTCACAGGGGAGATAGATGTGGTCCACCATTCTCCAGATGCTTGTAATGCTAACCACAGCAAGACCCAGTAACATCCTAGGATGATTATAGCTAATGTTCCACTATACACTCCAGTTCTAATCATGGCTTTGCCTCTTTTTTGTGGTGGTGGGGGGTGTAATTTAATACCTTGAGCCTGCATGGTAAACCATGGGCTCTCCTTTCCTTGGCTTTGACATATCACAGCAGTCGGGGTCAATTAGCCCAAGTCTCACCAGGCAAATGACAGCAAGTTGTTCTGGCTTGTGTGTTAACCCAGCCAGCTAAATTCAGTCTTCACCTTGACTGGCAACAACTAGTAAATGCAGATGATCAAATACACAGCTGTGGGGGAGGGTGAATGGAAGGCTTAATCAGATGGACTGAGGTAAAAGAGATGAGGTGGGTGAGTTGGCAAGACAGAAGGCCAGAAGAAGACTTTCTGCAGAAAACAGGCCTAAGCAGAAATAGGAATTCTACCTAGGAACAACCAATCAACACATAATAAGAGACAATAAGACCTGATCAGTGGTTGATAGAGCTACAGCAAGAAAACTAGAGCAGTTCAAAATGCAGAGACTAACAATACGGGTCGAGAACCTGTGACCCTCAAGATGTTGTTGGACTCCTTTCAGTCCCAGCCAGAATAGACAATGGTCATGGATGATGGGAGTTGTAGTGCAGTAACACTTGGAGTGCCACAAGTTCCTCATCCCTGAATCAACACATATGCCCAGTTGGAGAAGAACAAGAGTCTCTTGCCGTTAGTTCAAGGCTGTCATTAGTTTTTACCCAGAGACTCACTGTTGGTTTACCTTTTTTCTTAATGCACTATCTGCCCTGTTGATTTCAATTCTTCCCTTCACCTAAAAGTGCAACATGTTGTACTTCTTCATTTCTACCATCCCCTCTTCTGGTGACTCGACAAAACATTTAAAACTTCCCAAGCTCCATTGGTTGGCACTGATCGACAATTTGAGAATTTCTCCCTCACCTGTAAATATCAAAGGTTTGGGGGTCTGCTCTCATCCCAGCATCCCCCCCCACCTTTTCTGGTCTCACTGTGAGTTGGACTCTTACATTGCAAGGGCCTTTTCCACTGTAATAAATTTCCAAAATTTGTGATGTCAAAAAAGAGAAAAAGGTAAGGAAATAAAATTCTAACTTTATTAGTCAACGAAGACACTCCCCATCCTTCTTGTTTTTTTTGCATCTCTGTACGTTCAGTGGTAAAAACTATAGCACCCAGACAGTGGGAGGTGTAGGGGTATCAATATGCACATTCAGTGTTTATTTTTTAAAAAACAGTATCCAGGCATTAATTTTTGAAAGTGAAGGGGCCAGCTAGTCCTGCCCCTTTGATAATGAGGCATTTGCTAGTGATGTCTCCCCGCCAACACATGATTGAAACTTGGCTATAGGTTTCATCTTTTTACAGGAATGAGAATCCTGGCCAATCTGGGTCTCTCTCCCTTTGGAAGAAATCCTACATGTTCCCATCTGACTGAGCTGATCACATCAGCTAGGAGACATTGCTGTCATGTGTGTCATTGCGGTCCCCTTCATGTGTTACCCACACAGGTAATGAATGCTTGAAAAGGGTTAAAGAAAAAGGAGAAAACCAGGATCCGCAGTTTTCAGAGGAGGAATCACATGTGGGAAACATGCAACAATTTGTCGTTGGGCACAGAAACAAAAAATAAGATGCAAGAGTGTACCTTTCACACACCTATGACACACAGGAAGTGGAATCCCATGGGAGACAACCATTGTACTTGTTTGTGGTAAATGTTCTGTTACATAGGCACTTGAGGGATCTAATGTTATTTGGAAAATGTGGGGCGTTCACCCACTTTCCTGCCATACTTGGAAGAGAGTCACTGTAAGAAAGAGATGGGGGTTCCTAGTCATCAGATTAAGGGGAGCATTCATATATGGTATGCTCTCCCTATAGTGCAGGGGAAGAAAATAAATTTGTATATTGAGTGGTCCTGAAAGCAGTTGAAGAGAATGAGTACTCAACCCATTGGTGTTTACGCAAAGGACAGAGATCTTTGAAAATTAACTCGATTTGTGGAAGCATCCTGCATCCTGGCTCCTAGTGAGCCTACTTTCCAAGATGCCTCAAAATATCACTTTATGGGGAGCTACTACAGTGGGAGGGGGCTATTTCATTCATTACCTGCTGGTGGGAATCCCAAGTGCATCTGATGGACCATTTTAGGAGACCAGTTGTTGGTTTAGGTAGGCATTTGGTCTGATCTAACAGGCCTTTTTGGGACGTGGGTGGCGCTGTGGGTTAAACCACAGAGCCTAGGACTTGCCGATCAGAAGGTCGGCGGTTCGAATCCCCGCGACGGGGTGAGCTCCCGTTGTTCGGTCCCTGCTCCTGCAAACCTAGCAGTTCAAAAGCACATCAAAGTGCAAGTAGATAAATAGGTACCGCTCCAGCAGGAAGGTAAACGGCGGGAAGGTAAAGCGGCTTAGTCATGCTGGCCACATGACCCAGAAGCTGTACGCCGGCTCCCTCGGCCAATAAAGTGAGATGAGCACCGCAACCCCAGAGTCGGTCACGACTGGACCTAATGGTCAGGGGTCCCTTTACTTTTAACAGGCCTTTTATGAGAAGAGTGATGTAATAAAGCAAGATTTGAGCCCCATGATTTCAAGTGCCCGAGGCTCAATATATTTCTCTCCCTGCCTGTTGTGCAAAATTCATTTCTCTTGGTATTGTGGATGATACTCTGCTCAGAGAAATGACTTGCATGAATACCAGCAAACATTAACACCCTACAGATTGGAAAAAGCCAAGCAATGCAACTGAAATGAACAACAACATATTTTTCTTAATCTGGGCAAATGTCCAAGTAAATGGAATATGTATGTGTCTAGCCAGCAATAGTTAAATACCTGCCTATTCTGCTTTGCCCACCTCCATGCAATCAGAGTGCAGAGAGAGACCAAGTCTCCAAGGCACTAATTCATGTCTTGGCCTAATTACCATTGATTGGATTTCCACATACAACAGTCTCTCTCATTATCACAGCACCATTTGAAGATGTTCTACGTGAGGCCCTCTTAAAGAATCCATTTAAACAACAGAGAGGCTGCTTGCAGTCTGGACACACAGGATCCTGGGAGCCATTAATTATCCATAAAACACAGTATTGGTGAGAATAGAAAGGTCCCTAGTCTGCAGAGAATACAGCTTGCTGTCCCAATGCTCCCATGAGTCCTTTTTCAAACACAGAAGGAAATGGCTGCCTTTCCGTCAGCTATCTTAGAACAGTCTTTGCTACTTAGCTTCCTTTCCAATAAAGTCAGAAGTAGACAGTAAAGCCATCTGTGGTCATCCACCACCTTATGGGGTCCCAAACATCCTTTAAGTCAGGTTTTGTAAGATTCAGCTTTAGGTAAATCTAATGCTGCCGTGTTTGTGTTCTGTGGGTTAGCACAACAATCCAAAGAGGTAAAGGGTTTTAGTTCAACATATTTATCCAAAGAAGGAATTGCAGGTGATAAATCCAATAAAGTGAAACCCACAAGAAACATAACCTCCCTGTGTTTATCACAGCA